TGTACAATTAAATAGCCCAAATAGAAAGTAAGTCATATTGGGATTGCAGATTGTAAACAACTCCCTAAAAACAAATATGGAAAACTATTAGAAGAATTTTACATAGAAAATGAGAAATAGAAAAGAGGAACATTGTGTAAATAACGTTCCTCTTATTTACACATTATGCAAGGAATACTATGTTAGTGTTTATTCTTGTTTTCCAGTTTAGAAAAATGATTTTATTGCCTACAGTTAAGGCAACTAAAAGAAAAACAGCCATTGATTTGTCTTGATATGTAAGTCTGATATGTATCAAATACAGAGTGGCGTAAAATATACAATTTAAGAAGAAACACGGCTCCACTCACGGACTGACTTTATTAGGCTGTTCATTGGGCTTTGCACCACTCACCACACATCACCTCTTGGCTAACAGTCTGGAATTCATCATGCAGCTTTCCTTTCCTCTATCCTCCACAGGTCTTCCTTCTGGTTCCAGTGGTCTGCTCTGCATCCCCAGAACCAGAACCGAACGTGGAGAAGCAGCATTAGGTTTTAATGCACCGCAAATCTGGAACAAACGTCCAGAAAATTGCAAAACAGCTGGAACACCGAGTTCATTCACATCCATTTGTTTAGAATTGCTTTTGAACCATAAGAAATGTTCGGCAGAGCTCTTGTTGGTGGATCACAGCGGGGCCATCCGTCTGCTGCGCCGTTTGAAATGATCTTTTGCTTTATTGCTTCACCGGCTGACAAATGGTGCGCACCCACTGATTGTACAGAAAGGCTCCCAGCTTAAAAGCAAAGGTGGTTTAATTGATTCCTGCTCATTTGTTTATAAGTTACAAACCTGGTTTATCCCAGACACTCTTAAACAAGTCTGTAAATCATAAGTATGACATTAAAATAGTCCAGGAAAGGCGGGGTGATGCTCCCGCCTACGTCGCTGCCCCTCCAAATGCTGCGCCGCAACTGCGCAGCGCTGCAGCCCTTTAAGGCAAAGTGCTGTGGCCAGACGCTATTCATTTGCATAAATGATCTTTATCCGCTGGAATCGCAGGGCGCTGTTTGCCTGTAAAGAGACAATGCCCTGATGTGTTTTGCTGCAAATCGAAAATCGCCTGCCGCTGAAACGCATGTGCAGGTTTGGATTAAATGATGTTATGTTTATAACGCAAGGCAGTTTTTTTTTTTTTTTTTTTTTTTACGTTTTGAAAAAGCAAAAGGCGCGTGGCGTTTAACGTGACATGAGACCTTACCTACGGTCAGCTTAAGCGCCTTTAATGTAGATGAGGTGATAACGTTGCCTCCCCTCAGGTTTTTTTTTTTTTTTTTTTTACACGCTCGGCGCAGCAGCTTCAGAGGAGAAACTGCAGATTACAGCCGAGGGATGGTGGCGGAGATGGCGAGTTGTGGAGCGGCATGCCACCTGGAAGACGGGTGAGTTTCCCCCCGCCATCGATTACTAAAACAAAACATAAACGCGGAGGTCTTTTGTCGCTTCGGGCACAGGAAGTGGAGGTCTTTTGTTTTGTTGTCGAGCCGAGGCTCACCAGTTTGTGTAAAACAGACAAGCGAGCAGGAAACACAAGCTGTGCTTCCCTGTTGTAAAAAAGAAAGAAAGAAAGAAAGAAAAAACATGTAAAACTGAAAGTAATTTCAGGCATAAAAGGAGAAGGAAGTTGTATCTGTTTGTTGGCGTCTCTGCGGAGCACGCTGTTGTGTTGTTACACTAGTTGGATGAGTCACCTACAAAACTGTGTCATTCACGTTGCGCCAAAAAGAAAGTTAAATGATCAGCATAGTTTGCGACTCTTTCATAACGCCAGAAAACAAAAATCTGACATTTGTAAACACGCCAGCTTCATATTTACAGTTTGGGATTGTAGTTATTTATTGTATATTTATTTAGACACGCCAGATGTGTTATGCTTTTTACCATAACATAAAAAAAAAGTTGAGAATCCTCATCAGTCACTTCCTCTATGTTAACCACTTCATGTTATTGTTGTACCAGCAGGTGAGCTGATACTGATGACTCATTCTGCTCAGTGACATACAACACTGCCCAGGTTCTGTTTGTACCATCAGCTGCATGGCAAAGTCCCCATATGAACCCTGCATAACACCAGATCAACACTACGGTGTAATATTAAAAGCAAATAGCTGCAGGTTTTAACAGAACAACATGCATGTATTTTCTGGAGAAATCTTAAAACAATGAAAAGGTTTCAGACTAACTTTCCTAAATGTGATTCAACTACAGTAGAAGCAGCTTTGGGTTTTGTTGACCCTCGTCTCTACTTTTAACACTGCTGATCACAGTATGTGAATCAATAGGCTAACGGTGTTGTTGAGTTTTTAAAAATTGTTCTCCTGGATCAGATTACATGCATCAAACTGCAGCTCTTTCTTTTGGGGTTACTCAAGTCTGTGTTCTGGTCCGCTTTCTTTTTCCGTCCGTACTGCTTTCTTAGACAGCTGAGATTCATAGCTGCTGTGGAAAGAAATATCAGAGTGACAATCACTTAATAAGGTTGATCAATATTGTGATTTGAGAGCTCACAGAATCAGACTCTGCTGTACAGGTTTGAAGTGAACAGATGAGTTTTTCTTGAGGAATGTTATTTAAAAAAAACAAACTTCTGAGACCTATAAACAGCAGCAACAACACATTTTCCGTTTGACGCTGATGATTAATTAGAAACACAGAAATTAATGATTTGAAGAAAAATAATTTGGTCAGGATTTTTTCTTTTCTTTTTTTTTCCATTTTCTTTTGCTCCAGCGTCATTATGGATGCGGCCTAACTGGCGGTAGTTTGTCTACACACAGATGTCCTCTCGCTGTGCTTACGGGAAGTTGAGGGGAGCATAGAAGATGTTGTGGCCTGTAGCTTTCTGCTGAAACTAAAGCCCTCTGAAGACAGAAGGAGGACTGAGGCACATGAGAACAGAGGAAGTAAAAAAATAAACCCAAACCTTGGATGTCAAGAAGAAAACAGTGCGTAGAAAAAGTATGTACAGTCCCTAAACTTTAGCTTTACCTCATTTCATTGACATTTCATGTGATAGATGATTATAAAAATTACATTTTTATTTATCCCCTTTTATCTGATACTCCTGATTAAAACCTGTTGCCACCATCTACCTTCAGAAGTCGCCTAATTATGAGATAGAATCCATTTGTATGTGATTTAAGCTTAATATGAACCCTAACCCAACATTTGTTGAACATTATTGGTGAATGTTTATTATCACCAATCATAGAAGGCACTGCCTTGTAGTCTACTGTAACTCTAGAAGTAAAGCAGAACACGACATGACAAATATATTATCATTTCAATGTGTGTGCAATTTGTATATCTCAAAGGACATTTTGTAGCGCAGTAATTGTTGTGAAATGTACTCCAAGTGTTTGAATGTGCATTTTGCATGCTAAAATCAGCCAGTTGGACAGATTTTCTCAGTTAGCAGATGTTCACACCTGACACAAATGACGTTGCTCACGTGGTGTAGTAAAGGTCACGTAGTGGAGGAAGCACAGATGAGAATGACGAGAAGTAAAAAAAAGAAAAAATAGGCATACATCAGCACTGACGCCATCACAAATGGTATTGTGGAAACATGCTATAGGGATAAAACACAAACAGGGACGCTGGTTCAAGTAGATGAGAAGTTGGACAAAACTAAATAATTCTGACAGAAAACATGTTGAAGGCAACAAAAAGAAAACATGCAGCTTGAGCTACAATCGAATGGTTTATGTCAAATAGTATCGATGTGTTATTTGTGGCAGGTTTTGGTAATTGATTTACAGAGTTCTCCATCCAGTCAGCCTGAATTTGAGTCATTTTCAAAAGAACTTTAAGTTTGTAAGGACTGTAATTTATTGATATAGGGACTGAAAACAAATGCACGCCATGTATTTCAGATTTTACTTGTAAAATAAACTTAAAATATCTTTTTAGGGGTTGGCAATATGGCTGACAAAGTATCACAAGAGTATTTCATATCAGTGCAGATTGATAATTATTGATTAGTTTTTGTTTTAAATTTGTAAAATACTGCCAAAGTGGGGACATTAACTTTTCTCACAGTTTACTCAATTTTCTCATGAAACTGCTACTCAACAGGTTGTTGCTAGGTAACCAAAGAGTTGACGCAACCAACCTTAGCTTGTCTGGCCCCGAGAGGTCGAGCGGCTAAACTCTTTCCTCTGCCTACATCCCCCAGAATGCTGTGCGGTTCTGGACCAGACTTCAGCGAAATGATCAATATTCTATTGTGATACATATTGTGGTTGTTTATTGCTCGTCCCTCTACCTGTTTCTTCTTCTTTCACGTAATACTTTGTGTTGCGCCATGACATGAAATTCCAATGAAATGCATTGTAGATCGTGGCTGTAGTATGATTTAAAAAATGTGGAAAAGTTCAAGAGATGTCAATACAAAACTGTACGGTCCAGTGGCAGCTGGTTTGTAATCGAATACGGCATCCTCGCAGTCATGTTTATCATATCTTATCTTAGACGTTGACCCAGGACGTCAAGCGACAACAACAACCCAAACAAAGCCAACCTGAAACTAATCCTGGTCAGGTTTGCTGTGTTGGACTTGCTGTGGAATACCGTGGGACAAGTTTCCGAAAGGACTTACAGCAGAGTAATCTAAAGGCGCACACAGGGTGTTTTGCTTGTATGAAAACATTTAAACAACCTCAAAACCCACATGTCAGAGGAAGCGATGATTACCAAGGCAACCAGCTAATGAGCTCCGTGCAGCAGCTGTGGTGCTTCTATTTGGGAGAGGCACAATTCAAACGACCTTGAGAGAAAGAAAGAGGGAGAGAGAGAAAATACTGTTTTTCCTGGACATTTATTGTAAAAGAAAAGGAAGTGGCAGCTCCTTATCGGGATAAACAGCTGCCAGATGACATATCCCCATTTCCTAATTCACCATTTGGCTCATGTTCTAGGGAGTTTTAACATTTTTACAGCCGACAGAGAGAAACAGGAAAAGAGGCAGATGAATTGTTTCACCACGCCTCCCTGTGGGTATTTTGCACTCTCCCTCGTCCTCCTAATAGAAATCAGACATGTTGCCTCTTGTTGAAACTCGCATTGTATCAGCAGGCTGTCGAGCTGCTCTTCTTAAAAATAATAATAATAAAAAAAACAAAACAAAAAAAAACAGTTTGAATACCATTAAATAAATCATACAATTTATTTTTAGATGGGCTGTCAGGACTCTTGTCTAAAACATGTCCAGTATAATACCAATCTAACATAATCATGTAAGAATACTTATTAGTTTTGACTTTGTTCCACAAATTTAGGCCTCATACACATTATAATCTGATATATTTTGAGGGGAAATGGAACATTTTCTTCAGGTTTTGTGTTTTACCTGACATAAAAGCAAAGTGACGTCATAACGGCGCTATGCTGCCCAGAGATTCATTCTTTTCTTTTCTATTTGCTCTGTTTTATGCAGACGATGTGGTTTTGTTGTCTTCAATGGCCCTTGACCAAGTTGTACCCCTATTTCTTACTAATGCATTTCCATTTGTTTCCTTTTTACTTCTATTTCATTTGTTTTGTGTTAATCTATTTTGAAGCATTACAAAGCCATTTATTTTTGTGTAGCGTTTTGAAGAATCGCGTAGATAAATTATCCTAAAAAAATGTTCAAATCTTACAAAAAGCTTATTTTCTCAGTAAAATGTTATAATCAAACCAATTTGTATTTCTTTTGATTGTGATTCATGTTTATACTTCTGAAATATGACAAATTGAAACCACCTGGAGTAACTGCCTATTAGATTTTGTTAAATAGTCACATTTCCTCAGTTACGAGTCATTTATGAGTAGATTATCCTAAATAAAAGGTGGTGAAAGCGGGTATAAAACATCTCTCCTGCAGGTGTGATTTGTTGCACCTTAGGTAGGGATCCATCCCTTTTTCTAGGTTCTCAAACCTAGAAAAAGTCAAGTAAGAAATTACCAAAGCCGGACAGGGTACACAACTGTGAAGGCATTTAATAGCCAACGTCAATCTATCACTAAGTGTCTCTAATTCGTCATAAAACCCCAACTCAAAGTCCGTTAGACCCACCATGTTTATAAAACATGGCGTTGCTGGGATTAGCCCAGGCGCTCACTTCATCAGCAAATTGTGCTCCATTTACAAGTCCATAAAAATTTACCTCAGCACTTAAATTAAGTCAATGTGTGCAATTAAACACTCGGCGAAAATATTATTAACCCTACTTATGCTTTAGTAAGCAGAATAATTTGCTCGTTAAAAAAATGTGATGGTTTCATTCTCACACAAGTTGATTTTTTTGTTTTCTTATCTCAACTTTTTATTGGAATTGCTTTTGATAAAAGTTTCATCGACTGATGTTAGATTTGAAGCTTGCTGGGGAAAATTAAGGACTTGACATTTTTAAGGTTTCCAGAGGATTTTATTTGGTGGGAACTTGCATCTTTCCACAGCGTGATTACTAGATTCCTGTTTTTCTTGCATGTCTCACAATTCTCACTAATGTTCATTGGTAGAATTTGAGACTAAGATAAACTACGTCCAGCATCGTCATTGTGTTCGTCACTTTGATTTGTTTGAAATAATTTTGCGTTTATCTTTTCTGTCTTACAGAGACGGGGACGTCCCTGCCCTGGCGAACAAAGGTACTCACTTTCAGTTCCTTCTTTATTTTATTGCTGTGAGCTTCTCTGTTTGCTTTGACTTTGCCGGGAGGCCCATGCGGCGCTGCATCTTTTGTGCGGTTTCTCTTCTCAGTGCTTTTCATATCATTTGCCTGAAAGGACTGCAGTATGTTTGCAAAGTCATGTCAACACGTTTGTTTTCAGTGGTGCCACGTATTACTAGGTTGGTTTTACCACAGTTCTGCGCGAGAGCAAACTAAACCAAGAAGAAAATGACTTTTAAATGATCATGATTGAATCAATAACCAAAAAATTGATACGTATTTGTTAGTCCAGTTATATTTCAGAAATGGAATCATTCATCCATCTTTTAAAAGATTCTCGTTTACACCCCTGAACGTTTTAGCTCGTAACACACCTTTGTGGTGTTTAATTTCCCTATAAGTCCTATAATTGAAGACCTTAGAGGTTTGTTAGATAACATTGGTGAAAAAACACCATCATAAGGAACCAGGAATTCAGCATACAGGCCAGGGATGAAGTTGTGGAGAAAGTTTAATGCTGTTAGATTATTAAACATCCCACAGATCTCTGTTCATGGAAACATGGCACATTTGTAAACCTACCAAGATGTGAACAACAGACAGACAGACAGGCTAAGCAAGGAGAGCAAATCAGAGAAGAAGCAGCTAAGCCGCTCATAGTAGCTCTGGAGGAGTTACTGCGTTCTCTGCACAGATCCTCTGATCACTTAGGAGAATCTGATGCAAAATTACATCAGCTGTGATTCTACCTTTTTACATTTTCACATCTATATCTGCATCTTTCTGAAGAAGCCAAAAAAAATTTACACATTCTTCTTTTGCTGTAACCAGTTTGAATGCAGGTTCCTCTACACAAACGCTTGAGTTCATGCAAATTCTTCATGCATCTGCAGCTCAGAGATTAACTATCTTCCCCAAAGCAAACATCTTAACGTTTGGTTTGCGTCTTTTTGAAATGTAAGCCTCCTCTCCTGAGATCCTGGGCGCTCTGGGTTTGTGTTTTTGTGCCTCTGTCCTTTAGCTTTATGGCTTATGATAAATGATCTGACCATAAAACTTCATAAGCCTTTAGTTTTCCTTCTGCTAATTGTGCTTTCCTATCTCCCTGAAACAAGTCTGACCATTGTCTTATTGTCTTGGCGGTTTATGACAAACAACCTTTCATGTCTGATTATTCATATCAGCACCCGGTTCTAGAAAGTTGTTTACCGACTGTGTGGCCGCTCCAAATCCCGTCTCGCAGGTTTACAGGCAACCTGCTCGTTCTCATCACTGGACTTTTACTCTCTGTCATCTTTACATGCATTTCACAAACATGGACAAAGGCTTAGCAATTTCAACAACTAATAAAAGTATAGCACAAATTTGCAATTTTGTGTTGTTAGTGTAAAATGGCATGTTGACTGATGAGAATTTTCATATTATCTTTACATTCTTTTCCAGTTTTCATTCAACTCAAGACAAAGTTCATATCAGAGAAAAAAAATGACTTGGATCAGTGATTCTGAACTCTGACATTTTGTCTCTTTGACACAAAATATGGGACATCTGTGGGGAAAAGGGACATTTTTTTATTTGACTTTTTCCTCTTTTTTTTTTTGCAACCAAAGAGCTGAATGTATAATGTGAGATGATGGGAAGATGGATGGAGCTACTGGAAGAAAGCTAATTATAGACTGCAAAGACTTGAACCTGGAGTGGAGGTTCTCTTTTCAGCAGGATGATAATGAAAAAGTTTCATATCAACGCATAATCGTATTTCACCGACTCTGTCCAATCCAATTTAGACTCCGTCTCAACACCTGGAAATGAATGTTTGAATAAATTTTTAAGCCGTCTGACTGATCTCGAGCAATTACAAATGATCCGACATTTCAGTCTATGGGTGCACAACAACACTTATCAGAATTATTTTAGGCTGGGCAATAAATCAATAACAATACATTTTATAGACGCATGATCAATGTCAATGTCACTCCGATTCGGAAAAGCACTGCATTCTGGGGGATGTATGCAGAGGAGTGGCTTCAGCTGCTCATCCTTTCATGGCGAGCTAAGCAAAGCTGTTAGCATCAACTAACTCGCTCTTTGGTTACCTAGCAACGATGTGTTGAACGACTTGGGCAGCAGCAGTTTCATGTTCTGCCGTCGAGCCTCATAACTGCTTGAAAATAAGATGCACCATGGACTGAAAGAAGAAAATAAGAACAACCGCTCGAGAAGAAACTGTAGATGGAACAGGAAATGTTACGTCACCAGTTTGACAATATTTGAAGCAAAGAACTAAATAATTGTCAAAAGCAACTGTTATAAGACGTTTATACCGTAATGAGTTTTTCAGTCGTCGTAATTTCCCTCCAACTTCACAATTATGTGCTCATTTCTGTTCTGTTAGACAAAATACAAATAAAATGCTGTGAAATTTGTAGTTTTGAAAAGGTTCAAAGGGCACTGCAGTCACACAGGTGAGTTTTTTTTTTTTTAGTGATGTGTACTATGATGCTTTGACCAGCAGATGGCAGGCTACGTCCACAGATTTCCAGCTTTGTGTAACAGCACAGTTGTACATGCAAGCATGCATTTTTAAGTGTAGGTAGGTACGGAAACCACTTGGCTTGTTTGTTTTAATAGAGAGGAAAGAGATGGTCGGGTTACAAAGAGGGATGGTTTCATCCAGAACCCGAGGCATACGAGGACAGGAGGAAGGGAAGAGGGTGTGGGAGAGGTGAAGCAGGGGGGTTGAGCAAAGTGAGGGAGGGAGATTGATCAGGGTGGTGCACTGATGGCAGCATCTGCTTGTTAGTCCAAGATAAAACTCTGTGGGCTGACGAAGAGGACGGGCCCCATCCATCAGACAGCGAGGCACTCATCCAGATGGCACTAACTGCTGGAGCACAGACTCCTCCGGACCCATCAACAAATATGTGTCAGCATGTTAATTCTTGACACTTTTGCATGCCTCTCCACACAGTTCATTTGTGGTTAACTCTGCATATATGAAAGGTGATGATGTCATTTAGCCGTGCTTAGGGTTTTTTTTTTTTTTTGAAGAGGGTGAAAATAAAATTCTTAAGGAGGCTCTATGACGAAGTCTCTCCGGGGCTGCACCTGCTGCGGCTTTTGAAAATAAAAAAAATGTAATGTAGTTATGTCAGAAAACTGTTTCGCAGCAACAAGGGTGCTGAAACATTTGAGCGTCAGGTTTTTGCAGCTTTAAATAGACTTCGGTCTGTGAGAAAGTAGAAGAGGACTTAATTCACACAGTACATGTATTTCTGTTTCTTCTGCAGAATTGGGTGTTTTCTGGTTACCACGGAGACCACCCCCAAAGGGAGTGGGGACATTTTTTTTTATTTTTTTGCGCTACCTCACAACAAATGAGCAAATACATCCTGCTCTATTTTGTACAAATGCCAATTTAAAATTGTATACGTGTGTACAACTGCAAAGAGCCTCAGTGAAAACGTGCTCATACATTTTTAACTCTTCGATGTAGAAACTGGTTGAAAATTGATTTATTATGGTGGTCTGTGTTGGTCAGACCACCAACATGAAAAAGACACGACCAAATCTGTCAGATGACTTTATTACCCTGTAAACGTAACTCAAAAACAGTCCAAATAGTTTGAATACATTTATTTTTACTTTATTTTTTTCCTTTACTATTTCCGTTTCAGACTGGGGATGGGAAGCCCTCATTTGACCTGTTTTTCTTTTATATTTTATAAGTCTGGTGCATTTTTATCCCAAAGAAAAATATTTTAAACTTCAAATATATCACAGACAAGATATTAACATATATGTAAAAGCCTTAAACCCTATATTGTAGCAGAAGGACTTTCAGAAAATGAGCTGACTAGAACGTTTTTGCGGGGGGGGAATTCAAAAGAAAAAAAAATTCCCCCATAATCCCGAGAGAGCCCTGTAGGTTACAACACAAAACATGTGAGTGTAAAAAGAAAACAGTCAAATCTTTTCAAAATGTTGCTTTTCTTTCCAAGTTGAATGTAATTGCAAGGTCGTAAACATGTCACAATCACTCAGCATTAATATTTTAGTAAAATATAAAGATTTGGCACAAGTTAAATAAGAAGAAAGCAGTTTTAACCTTAAATTGATTTGTTGTTTGCAGATAACCTGTCAGAGGGTGATGGCAGCAGTTCAGGTGAGCAGTTGGCTTTTTTTTTAGTTTGCAGTTTTAAAACTTTGACTGTGGTAAACCTTTTTTTTTTTTCCCCCAATTATTTGACCCGTCTATCACAGAGACTGCAGGAGCATCCACTGAGGAGAGCTCAGATGAGGATGAGGAGGAGAACGACGAGGAGGAGGAGGAGAAGAATTCTGGTGAGACTCTTTGAATCGCTCACTTAGATTGTCTGTCTTTAAAGTAAAACTCTGTCAGATTAGGAGGCACAACGATAATACAAAGTTTGAGAAGAAATGGTAGGAAAAGACATGCGCTTCGTTTGGCATAAGAAAATAGACAAATGCATGATGCATGAGTGTCAATAAGTGTCAAGGCGTTGTATGTTAGTTTTAACATTTAAAAAAAAAGAAAAAGTGGTCAAACTAAGATAACGGCACTGAAACCAAGTTTCAACTTCCGCCAATTAGTCATCCTTCCAGGAACAAATGCAAAAAAAAAAAAAAAACAACAAATCTACATTTCAGAGATGCTGAGAAGCTGAGTTTTTTCTTTTTGACCTTTTAGAAAGCTAGACACACTCTCCCCCCACCCCCCCGGACTGTTTCTTGTTTTTATAAAAGCAATTCATGAACTTCTCACACTGACCTCAAAACCCAGAAGAAAGGAGAACATAGACGGTTACTCTGAAGATGAACTGTGGTGTGAAAATTAAAACTGGAAACCACCAGACGATGTTTCTGTGGCGATACGTGCTGCTTTGAAGCATTTAAAATACTTCTCCACATTTTAAATGCAAATCAAATATTTCTTGCATCTAGTTTTACATACAAACTGTGGATATGACCTTTGACCCGTTTGAGTGGCTATTGAATGTACGATGTCCCTTTGCTCTGTGTGTGCAGAACTGGCATTTTTGAAACGCGTACAGCTTCTTAAAGGGACAGTAATAATCCTGATGATGATGATGATTGCGGAGCTTTGATGAAGAGGACTTTGAGACCAGCTATAAGAAATTTGATAACTGCTTTACTTGTAAATTCAGTCTCTTTTGACTAAATCTTTCTAGTAACATCCTACAGTTTGAACTGTAATCTCATATATAATGGCCTGTTTCATAATGCAAAGCATTTTTTATCAGATTAGGGATGGACTGGTTTGACCACTCCATGACGTTAACCTTCCTCCGAGTCTTTCTGGTTTCGGTTTCTATTTAAATTTTTTGGGATCATTTGATCCCAAAATTTTACTCCTATTTTGCATAAATAAGAGCCGCCCGTTTGTTCAAAATATAGTAAATGGCGTCACTGATTGAACCCCACATTAATATTTGATTTGATCATTCACAGAATCAGCATCAGATCTGGTGGTTTTCTATTACTCTTCTACCCCGACTAATAAATAATTTTCTTTGTAGAAATTACATCTTTATAAAAACTCTGATTTGATTTGGTTCGTGAATTAAACTGCTATATATTTTTTAAAAATAATTATATAAACTAGAATTGCATTTCTTAGTATCTTTTTCATCCTGTGTCCTCTTTCTTTTTTTATTTATTGCATTCCAACTTTCATCAGAAGGGGGCGCTGAAGACGATGAAAAGGGAGAAGGTAAGACTTTGTTTCCATGTAAACAATTCAAAAATTGATGTTGCGCCAGGAATTATTGTGAGCACTTTTGCATTTATCTGCTTTTTTCTTACATTTTCCCTGCAGATGACAAAGAGGAACATAAAAACGGTAAGATATGTAATAAATCAGACTGTTTGCTCAAGCTGCTCCTCGGTTGTTTAGATGTTAATTGCTAAACTGTCTGAGCTGTTGCTACTTTACAGGCAGTTTTACATTTATAATTTTCCACAAGTTGTCAGATGAGTTTCATTTAGCGCTCAGCGGTATCACTTTATATTAATACTTGTTTAAATGACTACATGGAATCAGTAGATTTATTTTTTTTTATGAAATGGAGAAGTGGGAAAATGTCTTGAGTGCTACAGTTTAATATCACTTTATCTTTAATGTAAGTTGGTGACATGTCTAACGTCATTCATGCAGACATAAATAAAGATATACTTTTTGTATGATTTCTGGTAAAATAAAGGTTTAATAAATCTTAAATTGTGCTTTAAATAATTTCATGCTGTAGGATTACCCAGCTTGATTTGATCCATTTTAATGTTTTCAGTCTTACACTTTAGAACTAGCGATGATGCAGTAAATAATTCTTAAATAAATAAATTAATTAACCCTTTAGCGTAGCACTGAAACAGAAACCAGATGCAGAATGTGGCTCGGTCAAAAAGCGGCAGCGGCACAACTGAGATAAATATTTTTTTTTTTAAGGCTTGTGCCTCCACCGGAAGGGAGCCATTTGGCCTTTGTGTAGCCCTGATTGATCTTTGAGTTTCACTGTCCCCAACCAGTTTTTATTCTTTATCACCTGTCAAAAGTGGTTGTGTTTCTCGAATGAGCCCTAAGTACATTGTGAAAGCAGTTCTTTACTTGAGCTTTGCTGTAGAGTCAGAGGAAAGATGCTGTATTGATGAATTGGCAAACAGCACAGACGAGATGTTGCATCAGGATTTTTACTCGCAGATTCTTGATCGAGTTCAAAAATGAACCAGCTTGGTTGTAAATGTTTGTAAAGGAACAAACATTGATCCTGAGGGACTTGGATTTTAACCTCATAATCCAGCCTTTTGCAGCTGCTATAAAGTGACATGTATCCTATGGAAAACAGGGAATTCTGGATCTGAAGGAGCAGGAGCTGAACCTCAAGCCGCTGCTGTAAATGGGAGAGGTGAGCATAGCGTATGTTGATGTAGCGTCGATATTACGAGAACAACTCTGTTTCAACGCTTTTGTTTATCTATCCTCCTGACAGATGAACGATTTAAGATATGCTGTGAAAAATGCAAATCCGTCCATCAGGTGAGCTGAGAAACCAGATGTATTCTTCGTATATTGTTTTATTTTGCTGGCGCCGTGCTGCGACACGGCACCAGGTTAGAGATTTCTTCAGTTTCAGCATTTTTGCCAAAGTAATACAAAATATAGTTTTCAAGTTTTATGTATTAAGGGGAATAAAAGTTATCAAAATCAACCTGTTCTGCAGCTGAATGTCCTTTAACTGATGGCAGGAAAGGTTTACTGGTAGGGAAAATTTATGGTTCCATCAATTAAGTCATTCTGTGTCGTCTTGAAGAAGCAGAACGACCCAAGAAACATTACCATTACATATGTTTTTTGTTTTTGTTTTTGTTTTTTGTTTTTTCTTAAAATGCTGGATTAAGTGATTTCCTGATTCAGCAGGTCAGACCTGGGTTTGAATGTGGTTAAAACAGTTAATTCATAATTTAACAAGAGGAAATGACATTTTTGTCACTGGGCTGGGTGGCTTTGGGTCACATTTTCCCCCTTAAAAATAACCCTATTTTTGCATTTTCTCTGGTTACATTTTTTAAAATGAAATTTAAAACATTTAGTTGAGACCAAAAAGCTAATTCAGGATAAGTCTGAAAATACATCTGATCAGCATTGTATTTTACAGATGACAAAAAAACAACTAATTTTCCTTTTTATTTATCTTTCTTGTATTGTTTGTGTTATACTTTATTGATTATGTGAATGAATAAGTTGTGTGTGTTTCTGACAGACTCACGGCACGGAGCTTGTTACTCCTCAGAGGAAGTCTAAGGGACGTTTCCAGTGAGTGAGACGCGGCGTCTCTGCAGCAGACCTTGACGCAGTAAAACGCTCCGCCACTCACTCTGTGAATGTTTGTAGGTTGCAGCTGGAAGGAGAAGGCACGTATGAGTGTTCGGTCACCGGTCTGGTCTTCGAAGCAAGCGAGCCGGTTCTGGTGCGGTATTCTATTCTGTCTTGGTCCAAGTTTGGCTCCTTCCTGCCAAACTCCTGGAAGTTCGCCGGACCGATCTTCAACGTCGACACCGTCGACAAGGACGCGTCTGTCCTCACCTCTATCCAGTTCCCCCACTCCATCTGCTTAGCCCGTAAGAATATCGTGTAACGTCTTTTTACCGAGGCGCACAGTTTAAAAGAGCTAAAATGAAACTGGTGTGTTCCCAAAGATCCAGAGGAGGACCTGACGTTCAAGGTTCTGCACGTTAAGGACAACGGTCCCCTCATTGAGCCGACCGCAGACCACTCAGGAAGCCACGTGAAGTGGAACGTGACGTCCCTCTCGCCGGTCGGTCCCATCATTCAGAAGTCAGGGTCCGTGGAGCACCACGGGGTGGTTCTAGTCTACAAGCAGCTCGGCAGCGACACCAACAACTACAGCTTCCACGTCTACCTAGCGACAAACAGCTCGTCCGACATTAAAGTAAGCACTTACTGCCAGTCAGTCGTCTCTAGTGAGAAACCAGAGGCATTCTGGGGCAGTTTTGGCTAACAGCAGCTCTACTGTTCCAGAGAGAAGTTTATATGCTCTCCTTATCAGTAAAAAATTAATCACATTATAAATCAAAATGAGTTTGATAATTAATGATTAATTTATCTAATGATTATTTGAAAGGCAATTTTTCTCCAAGAGACGTCATCATGCATTTTATTTATAGCTTCTGTTGCACATGGTTTCTATTTCTCTTTTATTTATTGTTTTTGGTTGTGTTTTGTTTTGGATATTTAAAATATCTTCTTTATAAAATTAATGTTTATTGGTCTTTGAGAGTGAATTTGCGTTATGATGACATTATCAATATATTACTTCAAAATGGCCTGAAAACAAAAATTTTATCGCTTATCGCAATAATTTCTGGGACAATTTATCATAACACGCCTACTTATAAGAATGAATGTCTCAAATCTGGTATTTTAATGATAAATTTAAGTTATTCTTTCTCCACAGTGAGATGGTGGTACAGTAAACACTTTTAATGAATTTTTATACCAGGTTTTCTGAAACATTCCCAGTAATAAATCTTAAGTCCACTAATTTTCAGCAATGTTGAGGTCAAGAGTCTTAATTCCAGCCTTTTCCCCACTCTATTTTAAAATCTCTTTTTCTGAAAGTTTGCAGCAGATTGCCAAGCGGCCTGGGTTTTAGACCAGGAACAGCTGTGTTGATGACTGTAGTCGCGGCGCTAACACTGTGACGATCCCAAAGCCAGCTTTGATAAAAGTTTAGGATTACTCTCTTGTTGAACACATAAATGGGTCCAAATTCAACCATCTGTTCCTTTCAGGTGAAGATAAAAATTGAGCAAGTAGTTTATTTTTCTTGTTTGTTATTGTGCTATGCACCAGTACAACTTCAGTAAGCACAAAAGCTTAAATGCATACAAATGGATATCTTTCATTTAATTGGGATTCTTTTTTGTTTCTATTGTACGTTTTATACAAATCATATTGTGATATATATCGTTATCGCCACCCATCAGAATATTTATCGTGATATGAATTTTTTTGCCATATCGCACACATCTCTGTTAATTTATTTGAAGGTTGCCTCCTTCAACTCTACGCTTTATCATTGTGACTAAATAGTGTAATCGTTGAGACAATACACATTTTCTCCATAAAATAATTGGGTGGCTTTTTCATTTGATGAAAAATTCACACCTGTTGCTATTTGTATGTAAATTTCACCTTAGGAAAATCCCAGTTCAAGTAAATGATTACAGGTGAGACGATGAATGAAATTCATACACATAATGAGAATATGCACAGAAACTGTAGCTGTGCTGTTATTAGCAGCATCTTGCAGCTGTAAAACAAAAGTAGTTTGGAAATGAGGTCAGAGTTTTAGAAAACATTCTGTAGTTTCAGGGTCCTGTTTTATTTGTGATTTCAGTACCTGACTGTCACCAAAATCTTTTTGAGGAAAAAAAAACCTGTTTTATCTAACAACTATCCACGAAATTTCAGTGGTGATGCTAAGAAAATGTTTCTGTTGCATAATTGGATGCTGTAGACGTGGAATTGCTGTTTAAACTTAATTACATAAAGTCCCTTGAAAAACACCCAGTCTTGTGAATGGAAAATTTGAAATAATTACAGTATTTTGGGGGCAGTTTGTCATAAAATTGATACATCTTCCACAAATAAAAATCTAAAAGGTGTGCCAGGCCTTTTTATGCAACCCCTTTTACCTTGATGCCCCTAAATCTGCTACTTATTACATTCAAAAGTCACCCAATTAGTAAATGAGTCCACCTGTGTGTTATTCAAGCTCAGTTAAAAATCAGCTGTTCTCTGACAAATTCATTTCTCAGTATTTTTCTAGACTTTTACTTAACTTAATACATTTTCCTTCATCTTAATAGTTGTGCATCACCTTGTTTGTTTGGGTGTCTGTCAGATGTTGGAACTATTAGCATTTAGGTTTGTGGTTGTAATTGGACAAAATGTGGAAAGTCTTAATGGGCGTGAAGGGAGGTTTACACACTCCCTGTGTCCAGTGACATCTATTAATTTACAAGTTTTCAAAAATCTTCCTGTGTGACTAAATAGTGTTTAGATTCTGGATTTTTTTTTTCCATTTGTGTGCAAGCAAGAACAAAACAGGAGAAGGAAAAACGGCAAAAAACAACAACAAAAAAAAAACAAAAACGTCTTTACAGGGAGAAAAACTCAACTCATCTCAGACTTTTGATCAGCTCTGTTGTCCGTGGCTAAAACTCCAGCAAAATGCCTCACCTTTGAAACCACGTGTGAAAACCGTAAGAACAGACAGAGAGCTGGAGGTGACTTTCACTTCTGTTCGTGTTTGCGGTCGTGATTGCTTTGATTTCGTCATGCTTCACATTTCCAAACTTGCGTAACGAGTGGCTTTAGCTATCCGTTAGCTAAAGCCATTGGCATGGCTTTAGCTAACGGATAGCTAACTGATAGTGATGTTGAGCTTTTGTGTGAGGAGGGAAAAAAGTCAGAATATATTTTTAAGAAGCGAGAGAGCGCCAAACACACGCTTTTTTTGAACGCCTGAATTACGGGAAGCAGAGCAGTTGTGATGTAATTCGGGAAGCGTGAATGTGGCTGCATGAACATGAACGTGTGGGCCTGGGAGGATCCAGCTGATGAATAATAAAACCAGATGAGAGATGCTAGTTCTTTAAATATGTTTGCAGTCAGTTTTTCCTTGCGGTTTCTCAGCTTTCGTGATTCTTTTGTTCGGCGGGCTGAACTTGGAGTGACCTTTTCCAGCAAAACGCCGTCTTCAGGGTTATTTTTATCCCACCTGTTGTTGCTGAGAAACCGAGCCTCTCCATCTTGTTTTCTCTCTGTGCCGCTGTCATTTCAGGATATAGGCAAACAAGTTCGGGGCTACAAGAATCGATACATGAAGATCGATAAGCCTCCCACGTGTAAATTGGACGAGGGGACGTATCGCCTCGTGAGTGAGCCGGAGGGGGACATCAAACCTGAGGTGTGTCTCTGCATGTGGATAAGTCATGTTCATAAGGCATAATTCAGACTGGATCATGGTCTATACAGTAAAAATCATGTCAAATATTTTGGGGAAACTAGAAAATAGTTTAAAACTGTTAGATTTTTCTTTCAAAAGATTGTTCTGCTTGTTTTGTGATCTGTTTTTTTTTTTTTTTTTTTTTTTTTACTTTTTTTTGTCTTTTTAAAATTTTCCAAAATGATCAATGGGATCATTTTGTACCTCTTTAAAAACTATAAACAGTTTTTTTATAGTTTTTAAAAACTATAAAAAAAATACTGCTAAATTTCTCAAAATTTAGCAGTATTTGAGAAATATATAGTCTGGTCATTGCCTTCCTACACAATTCTGCTTGATTCTCATCTCTTCAGGGCTCCGTCTGGGCTTTCTGCTATTCAACTCAATTTGTCCGGTAGAATTTCAATCCAGCCAATCGGTGAACTGGTTGGCGTTTATTTTCTGTGATGTTTTAGAATCGTAGTTTTTGCAATGGCAGCGGAGGAAGTGAACGAAGCCGTTCAACCCGTGTTGTCCACGCAAATACTGAGCAATTGAAGTCGGAGAAAGCGGAATGTTTAATACATTTCATAAGCTCTCTGCGAACCAAAGCGTAAAACAAGGCACTGCTTGTTGTGGTTGCTAAAAAACATTTATTGAAAATTATTCATCTGGTGCATAAGAGATTTTATCAAGACTGTAGACACAATTAACGTAATGTTTTATCCTACACATGACGTCTGAGTCAATACAGTGTTTATGACCCTGAAGGGTTATTATTAAAAAAACTATTTTAGGTGTTTCTCATTTTAATAGTTCCCTTTTTAATATGAATGAGCCTACTCTGCTTTTAAATTGATCTGTGAAGAGTGACTACCTCTGCAGGAGGTTATTATGAACCTGTAACTTCTGTGAGTCATGATGAGTGTGAGGTGACGATTCACAAAGCGTGGACAGCTGCTGAAGATGCAGGAGTTCAAGGTACGCACAGGCTGAATGGCAGCTCCAGAGACACTGTTCAGTTTATTGAGTGGTGACCAAAGACTCGGGCCAAAAGAAACCATTTTGTTTCCCGGTAAGAGCTTACGGGAAGCTGGTGGGCCAAAGTTAAATCTTTGGGATTCAAAGGCTTACCATTTGAAGGTTCAAGGTTCCAAAAAAAAAAAAAAAAAAAAAAAAATTAAGTAAAATGAAATGAGTCCAAATTCTGTGGAAAATCCTACTTTGAAGAGAGACGTTTGATACAACTTTGGATAAAATTAGATTTTAATCAGCTTAAATAATACTTTCATTTACCCTAAAACTACCTCTACGTACAAGTCGTGTTGGTTTCATGTTTGTCCAGATTTGTTGCGAAACATTTACATTTTACCTTTTTAATTGCATATGTTGGGTATTTTGTTTTGACCAACATTTCTGCAGACTTTATGAAGGTCTTTCTGTTGACGTGGAGAAAATAATCAGGACCTTACAAAAACTTTTCGGCTTTTGTGACTAAACCATGTTTGTGTCTCATTGAAGGAGCTGAAGTTCACGCTCGCTGTGACCAAGATGAAAGGCTACTTTGAAGCTTTCTTTGAGGAGCGGCCTCCTTTCAAATTGTCTCTAATAGAGATCGACACGGACGAGACCGTCTGGTCTGCCACCATCAGAGAAGGTGCCAGCGCGTTTATTCTCCTGCTTCCATGTTTATGATGCTGCATTTACACTAGTTTGGAAAAAAAATCTTTATTTTTTCATTTGAAATAATAGCGTAAAATTTTGCCTCAAAGTCTGGATCACATTTAATATCCATGTTTTTTTTTTTTTTATTAATAGAAATGCTTAGCAACTTATAGGATATTTTTATAACTTTGGTTGTTTTGACATTGTAAATCAATATAATATGACTGTTTAGTGAGCAATTAAAATAAAAATTTGGTAATTCCATTGAGAGTATCAGTAGCATAACGAAGACATTTTGACCATGTCACAGCAACCTGTTAGGATTTAGGTGGAATTAATTGTCAATATTTAATCACATGGGAGCCTGATAGCTTTCCATGCATTTTGTTGAAAGCCGGTTTCAGCTGTTTGGTGAGATTTATAGTTGATGTTTTACTTTGATTATATTCTGTTTCGTGTGGTTGATGTCCATCTTTTGATTTTTTTTTTTTTTCAGGCGACTGTGTGGACAGCTCAGAAAAAAAGTCAAGGAAAAGGACAATCTGTACGCTCCTTCTCGGTCTTCGGTGGGAGACGGATATCGCTTCGTGTTTTTGGCCTGTGCATTGTGACTCAAATCGATCTTTTTCTTGCAGCTGGCAGACAGAGGAGCAGCAGCCACTCAGAAGAAGAAATGGCCTGTAAAAGACCGAAGTGGCAGGACGAGTCAGGTGAATCATCATCTGTTTATTTTGATTAAATTTAATTCTGTTTTATTATGTGGCTCCGACTCAAAACAGATTATATACAGAAGTATGCGATCAGTTCAGTCTAATCATATTGAAGTATTGATACCAGTTGCATACGTTCCAGTGCTAGAAATTAATGTTGTCAAGCAGACTATTGAAGCTTTCTAATGAAACATAGCTTATTGTCCCACAACAGTGGAGAGTTGGTTGCATTGAGAG